TAAGATTGTTGATAAACCATTAGGGAGATTAGCTGTGTTTATACAAAATTTTTCCAAGACAAGGCATCCTTTTGGTATATCTTCTGAAGGGGCATTTTATGTCTTTTTTTTTTTCCCCCAACATTAGTACAATTACTTACAGCCACTTATCATTTCTTATACCCATTTTGTAAGTTTGTTATTCTAGTTTTCCTATAGATTAGAGGAGATACAACGCAGAAAGTTGCTTTCTAGGCAACAAGATGAAAGGAACCTTCGGTGTTTTGTTACCACTCTCCAAAAGGAAACCTGTACTTCACTGGGCCTTATAAAAGCTTATTGTCCTGGAATTAATAACAATGATATGTTGAAAAATTATTATAATTTTAGTAACATTTGACTGCTTAGAGGAACCTCAGAAGATTTTGCATGTCCTCCTTTGATCTAGTTTTCTTTACGCAAAAATAGAGTAGGGAAGTAGGTCAGTGCCTGTGCTAAAAGCAAAAAAGTAAGCGCACTCATTTTTTTTCCCCCCAAACATCATTATGTTTTCGTCTTGGCTCTGAGACTGATACCACCAATGCTTGCTGGCTTGGTGCTCTCTAACTCATGGTCCGATTCCATATGGCATCTGTCCTGGAGGAGCCTTACAGCCGGCAAGAGCAGAATTGGCGCTCAGTCTCCTGCAGTTTGTAGGTGAGATGCCAGCCGAGAAGTATGTGCTTTCGTCCGGTGCCTGCGCGTGGCCACTGAGTCTTCAGGAAACCTCAGCCTTGAGAAACCCAGTTTATGGAATACTGAGCAATGACAATTAGCCTTTACATCTTAATGTGTCCAGATTCTGCAGACGCCTCTTCTTAGGGGTGTGACATTGGAAAAGTCACTTTACCTCCATGACTCTCAGGGGCATCATTTCCAGAACAGGGAATGCATATTTTCCCTGTTCATGCCAACTTTGTGGAGCTGTTGTGATATCGTATGTCAAGTACCTGGCAGAGTTTTCTGGCAAAGAGGAGGCTCTCAATAAGTATTTGAATTTGAATCTAATTCCTGCCTTGTAATAGGTGCTAAAGATGGCTAGGGAATACAGAGAAGTGAGCTAGTCTAATTTTCTAAGCCTGAGGTCAGAGTCTAGTAAATAGATGATCTTACTGAGATTTGGGTTATCTGTTCCCATAATTACCCCTCTGTGAAGAGCACATTGGCTCTCTGTGGCCTCTGGCAAGTACCCCCAAAGGTTTAACTGTTGGACACATAATTTCTGGCTTCCTTAGAAGTGTCAGCGCTTACAGCCTCTTGAGGACAAAAGAAGTCAGTAAGTCTCTGCTAGAAACAAGCATCAGCCAGGAAGAAAGCTGGGAGTCCAAAGAAGGAGGAGCTTGCCTGCATTAGAGCAAAGTTAACCAGTCCTTTGTAGTACCATTAGGGTCTCGGTGAGGCATTCAGCAATGTGGGGTCGGCGAGGTTAGGACCACCTGTCCTGCACAGAAGCTTTTGATTGAGAAGATGTGCTGTTGTGGTAGTTTGTGTAAGAAATAGACATTGTTGAATTTACTTAACGGATTGTCATGCGCTTAGCATTCGATGGTAATCTTTGGAACAGTTGTTTGCAAAATGGCAAGTAGTTGGGAAATAATGTGTAGATGTGGATGAGAGGTGCTCATTGATGTCACCCTGTGGGGATGGAGAGAGGAAGGAGATCTGTGGAGATGGAGACGTTGTTATGTGATGATTGAGAAAAATGTGTGTTTTAACATAGTCTTAATGGAGCCACAAGTTCAGCCCTTGGCCCCCTCCTTTTCATAGATAGTGTGTGTGTGTGTGTGTGTGTTTCCTTTAGTGCTGCCTTTTATTTGACAGTGTGATTCTAGGGACCCAATAGGATTTGCTCTTGGCCTTGTCTTCTCTTAGATTTACCCTGAGCCATTCACTCTCAGCCCAAGGGAGACCTGGCACAGTGTTCAGCCACATGATGGATTAGAAATATTTCGTGCTTTGGAGCCCATTGGGACTAGGTTTGAATTCTGCTTCTACAGTATATAAGCCAGTAACCTTAAGAAAGGAACTTAATTCTTTGATGTTTGCATCCAGAAAATAAAATTTTCTCCTAGGGTTGTTACAAGGATTAGAAATAATGAGTGTAAAGCACCTCACACAGTATCTGGCATGTATGTCCTCACTAAAGAATAGGCATTATTATTTAGGATATGAATTGTGTTTGAGTCTCCACTATGAAAAATTGGGGATTGAAAAGAAGATTTGTAATTGTCACTCATTCCGAGTGCATCACAATTGCAAAGATGCGATTTAACAGTAGAAAAAGCCAACACTTCTTAGACACTTATTCTGGGCTATGTTCTGTAGCAGACACCCGACTCTGAGGCCCAGAGTGGCACAGATCGGAAGGACTGGCCCCGGAATTCAGAGCCCATGCCCCGAGCCCTGACAGCCCACTGCCTCAGGATGATTGGCGGTCTTGCAGGCATCTCTGCAGGATGGCTGATGGGGAAGGGTTATAAATATGCACCTACCAACATAAAGAGCAAAGGCATGAGGCGTAAGCCCTCTTGTCCGCTTCCCTTCCTTTAGGCGCCTTGGTGAGTATTTTTTGAGGAAACGAAAAAGCCCCTTACGGGGAAGGCAATTATGGGAGGCTTGCTCTAAGTTCAGGCATGAGGACTGGGATACCGTCCCCTAATGCCTCCATTGTATTAACTGTGCTCTGTAGAGCCGAGATGCAAGAGCCCCATTTTTGGAACTTCCGTTCCCTGTTAGCTGAGACCTGTGGCAGTGCCTTCCTCTTTTCATCCTAGCTGGTTGTCAGCAGCAGTAACCACAGCCCTTCCTGTCCCAGAAATACATCTTGCCACACTCTCTGCTCTCAGCGAGCTGTGAGCACGACATTCTGTTCTGCGTGGGGCTTTGCCACCTCCAGTGTGCCAGAATCAGCTCGGTGGGGTTACAGCGTTCACTGAATTTGCACAGGGTGATTCATAAAGAAGTATATAGGTGCCTAAGAACAAGATAAACGATCAACCTCTACCATAAACAAGCATCACATTGCACCTAAATTGTTGAAAGAAGATTTTGCCCTCAAAATTTTATTCAGCAGAACATTTTTTATAACAATAAGGTTGATTAGAGAAAGCTCTGAAAGTGCTTCAAGTTAGTCTGATTGTTTATCTCAAGAATAAAAAAAAAAAAAATTAAGTGGTAAACTAGGGAGAATGAGAAGAAGTGGAAATTGGAGCCAGGACCTAGTGAAGAGTATTTGCCATCATTTTCCTCTCGGGATTAAATTGAATTCAGGATTTCTCCTTTCTGCAGGCTTTTTGTTTGTCTTTTAGCCATCACCCAGGGTCTTTTTTTTTATCTGGGGCTCAGGGTAACCCTAGCTAGGCCCACAGCAGACTAGAGGTGCTCTGGTGGTCCTGGATTGTGGTCTTTAACCTAATAAGGAACCCTGCTTAAGATCCTTGACTATCTTCTAATTATTACCCCCAGGCTACCGGGAAATAACACCTGCCATTTGCAGTGAAGTAAAGTCCAGGTGGCCCCTTTCTGACCTTTCTGCCTCCTGAGCTGGGGGCTGGCCCATGGTCATGGGAGTGCCTTTGGCGGTACTATATCTGCAGGGTTTGCACTTGCTTAGGTGCATTTTATTTTCACAGGATGGGATGTTAAATCAAGAACACAGTACTGCAAATGAATGCTGCTCAGGGCATTCAGCCTTGTCACTTGGCAGAGTAGGTGGCTTTAGGGTGCATTAAGGAGTGTTGGGAGGAATGAAGAAAGTAGGGGATTTTGCTTTACTGTTTATTGCAGCTCAAATAGGAGGGATCCAAATCTTAAAAAAAAATGAATGCCTTCATCATCATATTACATGATGTTGACTAGAATGGCAGAATTCTAAATGAGAGTGTTCTCTCTTCCAAATGAGGGTTTTGGAAAACAGCATTAAAGAAGATTGGTATGTAAAAGCTTATGGTCTCGCCTTTGTATCAGCCCCAAATATTTACTGAAGCTAAGAGAAGAAAAGGCAGACTTTTCTCTTTTCTCTCCCAAACGTGTGATTGTTTAGAACTCAAGTACAACATCTGGAAGTCAGATATACAGAGAGCAATTTATGGAGTGTGAAAGATTTGAAATATTCAGTGTCCTTTAGTGGGAACTCAACTTTCTGGGGCTGCATTTTTTTTTTCTTTTTTTTTCCCTGCACAAAGCAGGCATTTCTGAGATCGCCTTTTCCTCTCTGAATTAAACCCTTTGTGCCTGGATCCCATAAACAATGTGCTTTTTAAACGGGAGCCCCCGCCCCGGTCCTTTTCTCCAGCGTGGGCAGCCAATCCGCCGCTCCGAGATACACTGCTGGAGCACTTTCCATTCTGAGCAGCAACAACGTACTAATTTGATGCACACATGGATGCCTCGCGCACTCTGCAAATTCATCACCAGCATCTTGCATTAGTCATCTGACGGGCTGCCAAGTGTTTCATTTTCTTTTCATGTGACTTTATTATTACCACCTCTCTCCTCTCTTCCAAAAAACCTCCAAAAGGCGGGGCGGGGGCGGCGGCGGCGGCGGCGGGGGAGAATCCAGCAGAAATCCAGCCCTGCCCTTCTTTGCACACGAGAGCCAGTGTGGGGCTGATAGCGCTGCGGATGCGTTGGTGGCAGCCTTGCAGAGCGAGACCTGCACTTAACTTGCAGCTGCCTCCCGAGCCGGGCTTCAAGATGTCCACGCCCCGGGTGACAGCCGGCGGGGCGCTGCCCTGTGCTCGGGCGGCGATGCTGAATAGCAGCTTGCAGTGAGAGCCCGCAGCCGCTGCCGCCGCGGAGCAACCTAATGGTGCCTGTGCTTTGTTTTAGTTCATCAAATTTCTCCGACTCATTAGGCACTTTGCCCCGTGCTCCTCTTCCTCCTCCTTCCGCCTCCCCGCCCCCACCCCCACCCCCATTCTTTTTCTTCCTGTCCCTCACCGTGCAGCCCTAACTCTGGCTCCCGGTTCCCTTTTTGACAGTAACGGCACAACCAACAAGATGAACGGCGCTTTGGATCACTCAGACCAACCAGACCCAGATGCCATTAAGATGTTTGTCGGACAGATCCCCCGGTCCTGGTCGGAAAAGGAGCTGAAAGAACTTTTTGAGCCTTACGGAGCCGTCTACCAGATCAACGTCCTCCGGGACCGGAGTCAGAACCCTCCCCAGAGCAAAGGTACAGACCGCTGGGGGGACGCGTGCGGCTGGCGGGGGGAGGGGAGGGCGCAGGGCGTGCAGTCGGGGGACGCCGCGGGGGGGGGGGGGCGGCGGGGCTGCCCGCGGGAGGGAGGACCAAGAGGGGAGCCGCCACCGCCGCCCCGGTCCTCCGGCCAGCCCGGCTCCTCCCCGCGCCGGCACCCGCGCCCCCGCCCGTCAGCCCGCCCGCCCGCCTGCCGGACAGGTGGACCGAGCCGGCCCGGGACGCGCGGGAGGGAGGAGCGGCGGGAGCGCGCGGCCGCGCCTCTGTCCAGGCGCGTGATTGCTCTCCCGAGGTGGCTTCCTCGGCAGCGCAGGCTCCTCTCGGGTGGAGTGGATGCCTCTCTAAGGAACCGTGTTTCTCAGCCTTGCGTTGCAGAAGCTAACTCTTTCTCCCCCTGCCTTCCCCGTTGTTGCCCGTGCAATTACAATTGCATTTTACTTTTCCGTCGCCTGTGGGGACCCTGAAATGCCTCCCGAACAGTTAGTGTGGTGCCACTGGTGTAAGGAAGAAAGGGTACACTTTTTAAGAGGGACATCAATTCTTGGGGTTTAGATGGGGGTCATTAAGTGAAATGTGCCTTTTCGGGCGGGAAGAAGCGCCCTAGTGGCCTGAAATAGTTAGCACACCTTCAAAAATGCTTGCGGTTTACGCCCTTACCAGTGGTAAGATTCAAGTGTACAATCTGGTGGTTTTTACTGCCTCCATTTTAAGACGAGGGTGATGGGGAGAGGGGGTTTCAGTTATTAAAATAGAGACCAGAAAGCTCGTTACCGGGCGGAAGCTTCCGTGTGTTGGAATCGTCCTTTGCAAGCTCTGTGCAAACTAAATTTAAAAATATCTCCTCGGCTGCTACCATTTGGTCTTTGTCGCTGTTGTAATCTTGCTTTCGTATTTTTGTTCTTTCTGTTCTTGATGTCTTGGGCTGTCTACCCAGGGCTCCCCTGTCTTTTCAGTGGCTCTTGCACTTTCTTTTTTCTCTGTGCCTTGGAATTTGGGTCTGCCCTATTATTTTATTTTTCTGTTGCCTCTCAGGAGAGGTCCTGCAAACTCATTGTTTGGCTTTGAACGTACATATCCTTGAGTTGAACACATGAATGTTAGCACACACTTTTCTCGGAGCCTCTTTCTTACTGTCAAGGTGAAGGGAGAGGAGTAGATCATTGTTGAGACTGATGCTCTGAGAAATGGTGGGCCACCTCATGTTCTCTCTAGTTGCTGCGGTCTGATAGCACTTCGGGAAACCTTTGAAGAATTTTAAAGCCAGTACTCATTTTATAAGGGTGAACAGACATGCCTTCAGATTATGTTCCCTAGGACTCCCGTTTTCTGTCTCAAGACGTGTAACACCAAGAGTGTTCTCCAAATAGCTTACGTGGAATTTTGTCCCCACAAACTCGATTGTCCCATAATTTGAAAAAAAAATCACATATCTAAAATTCAGTAGCATTTAAAATGTCACAAATTGGGGCAATGTTGAGAAGTCTATCGATAATATTCCTGAATTACTTACCTGCATGTGTCCCAAATGGAGAAGATTAGAATTTGTTTTAATATTTAATTTTTGTAGCATCCTATCGAGGAAAGACAGTACAGTGCACTGGACTAGAGCTAAAAGGTCAGCAAATAAGGGCCATCCTGCCATCTAGAATGACACCCACGGAGAACTAGGCCAGGGGCAGTAAGCGAGTGTTTTGGAGCTTTAGCCATAGTACATCCCAGTCTAGGAAGACATGCCTCCAAATTTCATTTTATCAGCATTTTTCAGGATGACCTCTGATATATATGATCAAAGCTCATTTCTTTTGTTGCCTGATTACTTGCATTTGATTTTACACAGAGCTTACATTAGCCAGAAGACCCTCCTTTTAGTCATGAAAGTGTGCATGCTCTAGTTCTTCTACCATTTTCTCTTTTTTCCCCAGCGTTCCACTGAGCACTGTCTTGACCAGGCTGTGTTTGAAACTATACATTTTGTTGACCTCATTCACTAGGTCTTACAACTAACCTCGTTTAAATAGTTTGCATAAGCCCAGAGTCTTGGAGGGGAGAGGAGGCATGAGGAGGGAACGAACTTTTGTGAGCACGTATGCTATGCACCAGGCCCTGTTTTAGGAGTCAGTTCTTTCAGTTCTTGCCGAAATCTTGAAATTAGGTGCTGTTTGTCACATTTTACAGATGAGGAAATGGAGGCTCTGTAGAAGTTAAGCAACAGTCCAGGGGGGCCCAGCTAGTAAGTCGGAATTTGAACACAGTCCTTCTGTCTTCACACACTGTACCACCATGTGCTCACCTCAGGGAAATGAGGCCACACACCATCTTTGTTCTGCTCCATTTCAGGGTGTGGCTCAGAGGCCTTCTCCTGTACCTCAGTGCTCCCAGATGAAAGGAAGGACTTCTGCCCTTCACGAGCAAGGTTGATTTGGTCCTTGGCTTTGTGTTTGGTTTTCATGCTCATGGGCTTAGATCATACATCACTCCAACTCATGGTACCGTGGGAGAGAATTTACAGATGAAATCGTTAAAATCTTACCTTTGGAAATATAGGCCAATTCCCATTACTGTGGACTCCAAATCTCACATCAAATATTGCTTGAAGTACGTGGGCTTTCAGCCAAAGCTTGAAAGGATTTTTGTTATACAGATATCTCTGTTGTAACGGTATTTGTTGTGATGGGATTTGAGCTGCATAATGACATTCCCTTCCGAGGATTACAGCCCTTAGCCACTTGCATATAGAGAGCAGCAACCACAGCTTGTCTTTACCTCATACCTGTGTGTGCCATGCGGTATTTTCATGTGCACACGTGCAGTAGGACCCCGCATTTGCATTGGTCCTCTGTCAGCAGAGTATGGTCGTCATGTTTTCCCAGGGCTGGTGGCATAGCGTCAGATAACAGAATTTTCTACTAAACATGGTCTAAATGATCTAAGTAGGGCTCTTGGAGTAGTCTTGATTCATTGCCTCAATGACATGAGTGGTTCCAAGGAAACAGACAAAATCAGGTTATTACCCAATCCAGGTGAATTAGGTTTTTCTTTCATTGTGCACCTGATGTTCCTAAGTCTTGAAGCATAAAAACTTTCTTCTATATTTTTAAAGCGTCCTCTAAGAGACCCTAAACTGTCTGTGCCTTCTCCCTGTTAATGTATGTGTTGGCTAGGCAGAGTCTGCAACTCTGAGGAACCCAGCTTGGTGAACTATCCCATCTACCAGGACTCATGGAGATGATGTTTTATTTAGTAGTTATTGGTTGAGTCTGTGGGTGGTGAGAAATTACCACCTAGTAGTTAAGAGCATTGGTTTTGAAGACAGACAAGCCTAAATTCTGTTTCTGGCTCTACCACTCCTTGGGTGTCCGCCTTGGGCATGTTACCTGATCTCATCTGAGGATGGGGGCTCTCCTCCTAGGGTTGCTAAGATGAAGTTATATGCTTTGCACAGAGCTGAAAGGTGGTAGGAGCTTGTGTTACTAAGGCGATGGTTACTGTTATAGTTGCTGTTATCATCGCTGTCCCCAAGAACTTGAAATCTAACAGGGACCATGAGGCCAGTGCACAGGTCACGATAATATTGAAGACCATGGGATAAGGATAAGAAAGAGAGGAGCCTATTTGAACTCTGGAAGTTCGGGGAGGGAATGAATACTTAGCAGCTGTGGAGACAGAAAGACATGGCATCTTTTCCAAATCTCAAAAGAGAAAAATAGGATTTCAGTAAGTAAAGACAGTGTTGAGCATTACAAGTGGACGGACCAGCCTGATTTCGGGCAGGGAGGTGAAAAAGTGCAGGGCAGGTTCTGGGAGCTATGAGTCCTGCCAGAGTTCAAAGGAAATGTGAAGTCCATGAAATGAAATGGCAGAGGAGAAGGTCACGACATCTGGAAATAGAGGCTGGAGCCAGTTCTTAGAAGGCCTTCATTCTCAGGCCAGAGTATTAGAATTTGATTGGAGAGACAGTGGAGGGTCTGTGAAGGCTCTGGCAGCCAGGGGAACAGAGACTAGGAGACCGGGGCAGTGTGTTGGCTGACGCGCACGGGGCCTGAACAGAGATGCCGGTGGCCGGGGCCGCAGAGAAGGCGCTTCCTGAGTGACACAGACATGATGGTGGTGGAAAGAAGGGAGGCTTGATAACTCAGCTGAGGTGGGGATGAGCAGGAGGACTTGGCCTTCACTGGGAGGCATGGGAGAGCAGTCAGCAGTGGAGGGAACGGGAGAGAGAGGAAGAGTAAGTTCAGTTTTGATCCCGTTGAGTCTGAGGTGCCACAGTAACGCCAAGAAGGATGTGGGCCAAGCAAAGCCAGTGGCTTTGGTGGTCGGGAGGGCGTGAGAGCATTTCAGAAGGTGGAGGCCACGGATAGTGTAGGTTTACATGTGGGGCTGTGAGTAGAGACTGCCCTTTCTAGTAGGCTGGCCTTTTTTTTTTTTTTTTAAGAAAATAATAAAAAGGTGAAGCAAAAGGACATACTGAAAGCATAAGAAAGACAGGAATCAGGGTGTTTGAGGAGATAGAAAGAGTGGCTGAAGAGCACAGGGAAAAGGGTAGAAAGGGACCTCAGTTGAGACAGCAGAGCAGTTAGAAGGAAGTAGCAACAAGCACATTTCAGTCTCATGGGGGGAAGTAGACAATACAGATGCCCTCGTCTTCTCAGTAGACAGCTCATTCTTGAGGAGGCCAGTGGAACAGAAGTCATAAGGAGAAGGGAAAAGATTTAAAACGACTGCTTTGGAAAATCCAACGCAGAAGAAGAGCAGGATTGCTGAAGAGCAGGGAGGCCCCATGACACCAGGATGGTGAGGATTGGGCAGTAGGGCCCTGAGGCTTGTGGTTCTGTGAGTGAGCCCAGACACGGGATCACCTGTTGCTGGAGAGGACCTAGACAGGTGCGGGAGAAGGTCAGGAAGGGTATTCGGTGTGAGAGAATGTCCTCTGAGACCTAAGGCAGGGAAGCTGATAAAGGCAGAGGGGTAGCTCTGGT